GTACGTGATTCATGCCACACGTCGGCAATTAATTACGTGTTGTTTGTGCCTCGTCCGGACCTACGGCTGTGACTTGCAACGGGGTCCGCGTCGTGTGCAGACTGACCTGGCTTGACCCGAAGGAAGTTTTGACTCCTGAAAACTTCTTCGAGGCGTCCAGGTGTCCTTAAAGATGTGTGGGTTTACGACATTCACGGGGCTGGGGACCGAGCCTTGCCCAGGATTACGAGGAGGTGCAACTTGGTCTCTGAGTTGCGACTTTGTTCAGTGATTTAAAATACTGCGTTGCTTCACATATGCTAATGAGGGTTTTTTTTTTAAAGTAAGTGGGAAGGATGCAAGTGTTGAATAGCAATGAGGGAGGGATTATGAAGCGTCAACTTTGCAAAGCTCGCAGTGTTGATAATCAAAAGACATGCTACAAATTCAGAATTGAAGGAGATTTCAACGCCAGCATAAATAGTGACCACCAAAAACACGAACACAATCATGTTGTTTTCTGTTACCTTTTTTTTCTTCCTCTCTCTCTCCCCCACGCACACACGAACCGCATCCTACACACACTGACGTTATCAGGTGGGCTAGTAATCTAGAGGAATTTTTCGCCCACACTTTCTGCCTGTAGTTTCTAAAGTATGCAAGAAAAACAGATTAGTTAAGCTGAATAATTTCTCTAAGTTGTCTGGTGCTAATGTAGTTATTGCGAATTCATGGGTTAAGGCACTCGTCGTGATATGATTTATTTTCATAGATTTAATAATTATCAGTTTTATTATAGATTATATAAAAGTTCGAATATAGGCATTGATCATGAGATAACTCATTTTCGTAATTTTCAATAATTTATCAGTTTATTTGAATTAATTGATAAACTCATAATATTCTCATTGTCTATATCTGCTTACTTTAAATCGAGGTAAGAAAATATGAATATAGTCATTAATAAGATTCGTAACACATACATCTTTCACTGATTAACTGTAATAATAACTCTCACGCAATGGTATGTTATTACACGTGTCTCAAAGTGACGAGCGCAGGGAGAGAACATCGAGGAACATAAACTTTACTTAAACTTTACAGTATTCGTTACAGTACACAATACATACACAATGCATACACAATACATGCAAATTCATACACAATACATACACAATACATACACAATACATACACAATACATACAAATACATACACAATACATACAAATACATACACAATACATACAAATACATACACAGTACATGCAAATTCATGCACAATACATACACAATATCTACACAATACATACAAATACATACACAATACATAATACAAATACATACACAATACATACAAATACATACGCAATACATAATACAAATACTTGCACATTACATACACAACACATACAAATACATATATAATACATAATACATACACAATACATACACTCAACATACACACAACATACACACAACATACACACAACATACACATAACACACACATCACAGTACAGAGAGAGAGAGAGAGAGAGAGAGAGAGAGAGAGAGAGAGAGAGAGAGAGAGAGAGAGAGAGAGAGAGAGAGAGAGAGAGAGCGCAGCATACGTGCAGATCGTGGGCGGGGAAGTGTGGGCGGAACCAGTGCGAAGCTAGGCGGGGGTTGCCACAGGTGAGGGCGTGGGTGTGCGTGTGGGCGGACTGAGGGTGGATGAGGATGTTATTAGTGGATTCTGCCGTATTTAGATGGGATGGAAGGGGGGGAGGGGAGAGGGGAGAATGGGGGAGAGGGATGGAAAAAGAAGGAGGAGGAAGAGTAAATAGTGATAATAAAGAGAGAAGAATTAAGGGAGAGAAGGAGGATGGGTTATGGAAAAGGGAAAGAGGAGGAAGAGTAAACAATGATGATAAAAGGAGGAGAAGGGTGAAGTTAAAGATAAAGAAGAGAGATGGAAAAGGGAGGAGGAGGAGGAAGAAGATGAATAGATAATGATAATAAAAAGGAGAAGCATGAAGAAGTTAAAGAGAGAGAAGAAGGAGATGGAAAAAGGAGGTGGAGGAGGAGGAAGATGAAGAATGAATAGTGATAATAAAAGAGGAGTATAGGGATGAGGAAGAGGAAGTGGAGAAGGAAGAAGATAAAGAGGAGGAGAAGAGTAAGAGAAAGAGAAGGAAGATTAGGAAGAAGAGGAATGATAACTTACGGTGTGTAAAAGATGAAAGGACAGGAGTAGATAAGGAAGAAGAAGAGGAGGAGGAGGAGGAAGAAGAAGAGGAACAAAAAGACTAAGAAGTAGGAGAAGGAGAAGGAAGTGAAGAAGAAATATAAAAATAATAATGATAATAATAATAATAATAATAATAATAATAATAATAATAATAATGATGATAATAATAATGATGATGATAATAATAATAATAAGAAGAAGAAGAAGAAGAAGGAAGAGAAGGAGAAGGAGAAGAAGAAGGAGAAGGAGGTGAAGGAGTCAATGGACTTCCAGGAAGAGAAAGGAAGACAGGCTAGCAAACTATGGCCTTTCCCTTTCTCTTTCATAGCAGCCTCTCCTGCTATGAAACCTTTTCCTTCTTCTTCTTCTTCTTTTTTTTCTTCTTTTTCATCATCTTCTTTTTCTTCATATTTTTTTTCTTCTTTTTCTTCTTCTTCTTCTACTTCTCCTTTTCTTTTCTTCTTTTTTTTTGTTTTGAATATTTGTCTTCCTTTTTTTCTTTATTTCTTTTTTGTTTCTCTGTTTCCCTTTCCGATTTAGTATCAGATTAGATGGGGATGCTGATATGCAACTTCAGTTATTTATTTTTCAATCTGTCAAAATCTTTTTCTGTTTGCTCGTGTAATTTTCTCTCAAAAAGGATTTATGTCGCTTTTTCTGTCTTTGATTTTCTCTTCCTCCTCTTCTCGCTCTATCTCTCTCTCTAATTCCCTCTCTCTCTTCCTCTCTGATTCTCTCTCTCTCTAATTCTCTCTCTCTCTAATTCTCTCTCCCTCTCATTCTCTCTCTCTCTCATTCTCTCTCTCTCTCTCTCTCACTCTCTCTCTCTCTCTCTCTCTCTCTCTCTCTCTCTCTCTCTCTCTCTCTCTCTCTCTCTCTCTCTCTCTCTCTCTCTCTCTCCTTCTCTCTCTCTCTCTCCTTCTCTCTCTCTCTCTCCTTCTCTCTCTCTCTCTCCTCTCTCTCTCTCTCTCCTCTCTCTCTCTCTCTCTCTCTCTCTCTCTCTCTCTCTCTCTCTCTCTCTCTCTCTCTCTCTCTCTCTCTCTCTCTCTCTCTCTCTCCCTCTCCCTCTCCCTCTCTCTCTCCCCCTCTCTTTCTCTCATTCTGATTATCAACATGTCAACAAAGTAGAATGAAAATAAGTGTAACATAACAACAACTTATAAACACCACTTACAAAAAAAAAGAGAATCCATTTAAGAATTATTCACACACAAAAAGAAAAAAAAATGATGCCACATTTAAGATCTATTTAATTTCTTCTAATTCTTCTATTCATCCAATTTTCATTCATCTGTCGTTTCATTCATTCTTTCGCACTTAAGCTCAATTTTAGCCTGATTGAAATTCCCATCTCGTCTGAACTCTCGCTAACACTGTCTTCATTTCGCTTCCTCAATTAATAATTTAGAAAAAATAGCCAGTAATTTGTTAAATTTCAAAACTCTCAGGATAAAAATTTGGAGCTGTTAACCTCCCCCCCCACCCGTGAAAAAAAACGCATTTCCTTTGGCAGATTTCATTATATTTTGAAGGTGTTTTAAGTTCGTGGCATTAGCTCAGCATACTTGGAAAATTTTGTGTTTTTTTTGTGTCAAAGTGTAATTGTAATGCCGTTGCTTCTTTCTGTATTCTTTTGTTGTTTATCTTCTCTCTTTTTTATTTCTTTATATATATATATTTATTTATATACATAGGTATATATTGATATATTTATTTATATGTTTGTATTTGTATTTATTTATGAACCGTATTCATGTTGACACATGTAGAAAAGGTATGAGTGAAAATGGATATCTTCACAGTACAAGAGATGTATTTGACCGGTTTCGATTATATCTTCGTCGGAAATACTGTATTTTTTGACGCAGATATAATCGAAACCGGTCAAATACATCTCTTGTATTGTGAAGATATTCATTCACATTCATACCTTTTTTATATTTATTTATATATATATATATATTTATTTATTTATTTATATATATAAATTTATTTATTTATCCATCTATATATCTATCTATCTATCTATCTATCTATCTATCTATTACACAGACACACACACACACACACACACACACACACACACACACACACACACACACACACACACACACACACACACACACACACACACACACACACATGCACATGCACATGCACATATACATACGCGGTTTGCCTTTCTCCCTCTTTCTCTTTCTCTCTCTTTCCCTCTCACCCATCTCTCTATTTTTCTTTCCTCTCAACACAACCAAACGCCATAAAAACCCAAAACACGGAGACAAACACCGTAGAGTTAACAAAAAATAAAAAGCAAAAAAAACGAAAAAACGTATAAAATCAACGAATTTATATGATTAAATAAACCTAAATTTGGAAAAAAAACATGTCCTTAGCGTGTTGTTAATGGGATATAATAGGATTTTGCAATAGGAAAGGAGGGCAAAAGAATGCTGGATAAATATGTAGAATTGAAGGGCGTGGAAGCTAAAAGGGAAGAAAAAGAAGAAGAAAAAAAAAAGAAAATGAAAGAAGAAAAGTAAAAAAATAAAATAAAATAAAAAATGTACGTGATGTTGTTAATGATGATTATATGGAAGTTATTGGTCGTTCTATTTTTTGTTTTCTTTTTTGTTATTTTTCTTCTGTGTTTTTTTATTGCTTGTGATTAGTTACTGTTATTGTGATGTTATTGATATAGTTATCGTTATGTTATTTTTATTGTTATCGTTATGTTATTTTTATGGTTATTGTCGTTATTTTAACTTATTTTTTTATTTTTAAGAAAAT